TCAAAATTTGGTGGGATATAAGAAAAAGGCTTCTAATTTGTTTTCTTTTTATTGATAATCCTTTTTTATTCTTTAAAATCAATAAATAAATTTATAATGATTTAGGCCGGAATGATAAGGTTCATTTGTGACCTAATAAATTTAAAAGTTAGGACCATTATGTATTCTCTCAACCTTTCTCTCTCATTCCAGATTTTTCTTTTTTTTAACTAACCTTGTTCTAAAAAGTTATATTTATACCAATTGGGTACCGAAAATAATGACCTTAATTTTTCACTAACCTAAAGTTGTTACCATATACATGACGTAATCTCTTATTCAAAAATATTAATTTAAAATAATTTCATAAAACAATGTCATGGACTTACTGTTTAGAAAAAATCATTAAAGCAACACAAAAGAAAAATTAAATAAAACAAAGAAAATATTAAAAAATGACAACACCCTAGGCTAACCTAAGGTCTAAGGATTTAAATACAATTATCTTATACATGTGTTATGCTCTTTACTTGCAATGCTGTCATTAGCCGTACAGGGGTATCTTTGCCTTCATCTAAAAAATAAAAGTAGCACACTTCTTGAGTGAGTATTTTAAGAAATACTCCGTAAGTGACCCCACTATTGGGGTAAGAGAATGCAAACACGTGCAACTCATGATTGCGGACCTATGATTCAAAATCATTATAGAGGTAGCCTCTAGTCCATACAAATTAGATGTGCAGTACTTCCCTATACACGGCTCACAAGTGTGAGTGTGGCGGTTCATACGCCCCCCTAAGCCCATCATAGTCAGGCTAGTTGGTTGTAGTTGGACATCCGAAGGTACAACAAACCCTCGAGTATCATATAAGACATGATCATCATCATCATCATGATCATAATAGTGTATGCATCCGTACTCATCATCATAAAAATGGGAAGTAAACTGATGTAAATTAACATACAATATGCATGAGGTCCCTATCATTTTCATCTTAAATCATTCCTATGACACAACCCTATACATTCTTCACATATTATGTAATGACCCTAAATTTCTACTTACTTAGAGTCGCTACTAAAATCTCCTACTAAGCTCATATGCAGAATATAACACTTAAAAAGATATCACTTATAGCATAAAATTCGAATAAATTAAAACAACTTCATCCTTGAAAAATACTTTCATTGACTTACTTGTTCAACACATAGCAATGAATTGCAAATAAAAATAGATATGAAATAATTTAAAAATATGAAATGCAAGGCAACCTATTCTAACCTAAGTTTAGGAATTCAAATATCTTTCTATCCTATGCATGTGTCATGGTTTCTGCTTGCAATGTTGCCGTCAACAATACATGGACGCCTTGTCTTTACCATGAAAATGATGTGAAACACGACTTGAGTATTTCAAAGAATATTCAGAAAGTGACCCCACTATAGGGGCCATACAAAAATGCAAACACTTGCAAAAGATGCTCTAGGGAACTATCTCTATCTTATCCTAAGGGTGAACTCTAGTCTGAACTAACTTTGGATGTGTAGTACTTCCCTACGTATGACCCACACGTGTAAGTGTGGATCCCCAGGCGGTTCGCACTCCCTGGAGCCATTATCGTCGAGCTAGTTTTTCGTAGCGACATCTGGAGGTCAGCAGACCCTTAGATGTCATGCTCAACATGATCACCATCATCATCATAACGTGCGCGTCCACACTCATCATTATAAAAAGGGGAAGCATCCTGATTCTTACATACACACAACATGCCCGAGGTCCCTTTATTTCTCATCTTAATATCATTATTCATGCTCTTTAGGAATGTGTCCTAAGCCGATTTCTCGACATGATGCAAGATGACATTCATCACATACAACATGCATAATATGGAAAACATCATCATATTATGGTAACAACGTCATGCATCATAATCGTCATAAATCGTCATCATAACACCATCAAATACATCATAATCATCAAGTATCATCATACATCATCATAAAACTCCTATACATCATCATATGTCATAACTCATCATCATACATCATCATATGTCATAGTTTATACACCATACATCAGAATTCATACAAGTTTCTAGTCTATCTTATAGTAAGGCCACTTACTTGGTTGGTCTTAGCTGACGTCCTCCCTCGTTTAAATAGCGTTAGCTCATGTTCCTCGAAAGCTATTCCAAATGTCGCTGGAATTCGTTTCCTATTAGATCGTGATCTTTCGTTAGTATTTCACAAATAATAACAATTCTAATTGGCATTTGTGAAATACGACATTAAAATAACCTCAATTACCTTACTCAGGACCAAAAGCAGGTTCAAGAGGGTCAGAAGGATAGAAATTGGGTTGAATTTGGGTTACCTAAGCCATATAAGCCGAGGGAGCCGCAGAAGCCAAGCCGAGTCGAGGCAAGCCACGAAGACGAAGGGCTAATTTTACCACGGGTTAACACATGGCACGATATGAGTGGGCTACGTCGTGTGCAGATGACTTTCGATCGAGGTGCGAGTCACGTGTCGCAATCTCAGGTTGTGTTGGTTGCAAGTAGGTCTCGGTTGCAGGCTTGGTTGCGGTCACAGATTGGGTTGTGACGCAATTTGGGCCTTGGGTTTGCATTGGTTGCAGGCGCGGGTCTCAGGCTTTCGGGTCGAGATACTGCATGCGTGGGCCGCTGTAGATGGACTGTGATTGTGGTTCGATCTTGGGCCTCAGGTAACAGATTGGGTTTGACCTAAATCTGTCAGATCCTTTCTTCTTCACCCGACTAACAACGCAATTTTTCGACGACTTTTCTATCTTTTTCCTGCGACGGTTTCTAACGTCTTTTCTCTTCCTTTTTGTCTCCCTATCTCTCTGTTAGCCCCTCCTCTCTTCCTCAAATTTTCGTACCTTGAAAACGCTTAAAACCACATATCTAGAAACGTTCAAGAAAACTAAAATTCTGATTCCGTTTCCCAACAATGACATGCACGAAAGGGCATGCAACGTACCTTAGATCGATGTATAGTTATGACTGTTTTGGGCTATGAATGTGTGGGTTTTCAGCTTGCCAGATAACGGGTTTAGTTTTTCTCTCTCTCTTATGTTTTCTCTGAATTTTGTTCTCTCGTTTCTTTCCTCTCTTGCAGGTGGATTCGGGAGGATGGAAGAAGGTTTGGGCGTATTGTGGGGGTCAGTGAGAACGTGTCTGACAGGAGCGCGGTATTTCCAGCAGTCACTGGAAATATTGTGTCCACCAACGACTGACGAAATTATTCATATTACTTCTTGGTAACATTTATGCATAAACATTCCTTCCTTCATCATTGATAACATCATTTAGGTTGTGTGTCATGAAACTCGTCATATTGTAACTTAACATGTCATACATACACATCATCATAACATGAGATATCATCATATTGTCATATTATCCCAAAACATCTTATATCATCATAATACATTATCATATCGTATCAATTCGCATCATCATATCATCAAAACATCATCATAATACATCATCATATCGTATAAAGTCACATCATCATCATATTATATAAGCCTAAATGACATGTGCAAGAACCAATAGGCACATGTCATCATACATAAGACAAGTCTTCCGACTAAGCCGATAGTAAGACCACTTACTTGGTTGGCCTTAACTGACGTTCTCCCTAAACTCGAATGCTTGATTTCGTCCTTCAAAGTTGTTCCAAGTATAGTCAAGGTGTTCCGCCCTATTAGAATGTTCATCTAATTTCTTTAGCAATTCTGATTTCTTAACTTAATTCAACTTAAATTGAGAAATTGGACATCATACAAACCTTAATTGCCTTAAATATGGTCAAATTTAACTCTAGGAGAATCTAAAACATAGGGAACGAAGTCCAAAATGCTAAATCGAGTCGGATAAGCTGTATTTGAGCCGAGGAGCTGTCGAGCCGCACCGATGGAGTCTAGTGATTGAGGACAAGACAACACATTGGTGGGAGGAGCTGATTCGCGCACGGGTCGTAAATCGAGTTGATGCATGGGTCTCGAGTCACTCTCACAGGTCACCTTCTCAAATTGTGCGTCTGGGCCGTGAGTTTGTAAACGAGCTTAGTGGCTACTAGGCTAGAGTTTCGAGTTACTGCAGATCGATTGGGCTCAGGGTGTGAACTGTTGTCTCTGGATGCAAGGGCGCTGGGGTGGGTGTCCAACCCGGATCCAGATCTGATGGATTCCTTCTCTTTCACCCAATAGTCACATGAAAGTTCTGATCGTCTCTCTCTCTTCCTAAATTTTCTCCGACATCGTTCCTCAGTTTGACTTTCAACTCTCGTGGCCTTTTGCTCTCTTTTTCTTCCACTCTCACGTGTCACAAGTCCTCGTAAGTACCTACAAATGCAATTCCATCGATATCTAAGTCTTCCAAAACTCGGGTCTCATTGGCGACGAAGGAAAACGTTACAGTGTGGTACGAAATGTGAGTGACATACCTTCGGGGTACACGGGGCGTCCATGTTAGGAACAGGAGAATAGGAACAGGAGAACAGAAAACGGGAAAGAACAGATAAATTGGAAGAAATCTCACAGTCTATTGAAGAATGAAATTTGCTATTATATAGCGTTACATAATCAAATCCATATGACTAAATCAAATCTAATTCAAATGACTAAATCAAATCTAATCCAAATAACTAAATCAAATCTAATCCTAACAATCTCTCCCTTAAACTGAATAGTAATCATTTTATATTTACAACCAGACTTCCAAGATAATTTCATCAATTCACATGTGTCATTTCTGTTTATTACTCCACATCCATGGCTTGCCTTCGTTTCTCACTCCTCAATGCGTTTCTCACTCTTCAATGTATCTTTAAATTAATGTGTCTTCAAAGTTTAATGGTTCTGTAGTGGTAAACATGGTCGAGTGTGCTTCATCCTCTTCTTTACAAAAAACTTCTCCTATTGCATGATCTCTCATTCAGACTGCTTCATCATCTTCTTCAAAAAAATCTTCTCCTATTGCATAGTCTCTCATTCAGACTGGTGGTCTCTTATTCCTCGCCTTATTCGAGCTAGGAGAGCTTGCTTCAGCCAAAGAGACAGAGGAAATATTTTCCTCTATAGTATTTTCATCTGCGGCTTCTATATCATAACTCAAACTCTTATCATCTAAATTAGTTCTCCGAGCTGCTTGCTCTTTTTGTCTCTGAACCAACGCGAGCTCACGATATAGTTTTTCTTCCTTCCACTGCAACTCTAGAGCTAATCGTCGCTTAGCTTTTTCTACTCTTCTCCTATTCTCTTCCAGCATTTTATCTAGCTCTTCTCTCTCTTTCCGTGCTTGTTCTTCTTTTTGTCTTGTAGCGGCTTCTTTTTCTTTCTCAAGCTGCATATCAACATCATCATACAACTTCTTGCGACCTTCCTTTATTCGCCTCTGTATTTCTAATTTAATCTCTTTAGAGTTTAGCCTTTCTTCAACATTCTTCTGAATTAATTCTTCCACCCTACTAGATGCATCTTCTTCTAACTTCTTTTTGCAGTCACAAGTGACCTCCTTCTCTTTTATCTCCTCTTCTTTTTCTACCTTCGTCGCCACATTCTGGACCTCCAAGTCTTCATCTTCTAATTTCAAACATTTGTCAACCAATGGCTTTATCTTTGCATGAACTGAGAACATGCTACTCGCCATCATTTGTGTGTTCATTATCAGGCCCATTTGTTGATGATATATTCTGTAGGTTCCTTCTTTGATTAAGATCACGAAGTGCGTCTCCTGTAGCTTCCCTATGCTTAGCAAATTGTCGGTGAGATTGGGGAAATAGTAGACATTTTGTCACGACTTGTGTGATACCTTCAACTTCGAATCTAACACTGCCTCTTCCTTCAACTACCAATTTTGAGCTATTTCTACACCTGATAGTATGTTTGAAACTTTCGTCAAGCTCAACGAACCATGTTTTGTCCCCTGTCATATGATTTAAGCACTTGGAATCGAGAAACCAAATGCCTTCTTTTTCAACTTTACTTTTCTTTGTGTACGCCATCAATAGCAGTTCTTCCTCCTTGTCACATTCAACATAAATGACAGCTTCTTTTTCTATGCCTGGACATTCAAATTGGTAATGTCTTTACTTTCCACATCGAAAACAGTTGATGGTCGACCGGTTCACAAAAGATCTACCTCCTCCCCATCCTCTAGTGTAACCGCTTCATCTCTAAAATGTCCCTCTGTCTCTTCCTTGTCCATACCTTGGTACATTCTCCACCTGCACTCTTCCTTGTCCATAACTTGGTACATTCTCCACCTGCAGAACCTACTCTTCACTCTTCTTATCAATCACCTTTTGTTCATGTACAAGCAAAGATGCCTATAATTCATCGACTGTTAATTGGTCAATGTCCTTGGATTCTTCAATTAAGCATACTACAGAGTTGAATTTATCGGTAAGACTTCGAAGTATTTTCTCAACAATTTTGACATCTGACATATCTTCTCCGCAATTCCTCATGTCATTAGCAATAAACATAACTCTTGAAAAATACTCAGAAACACCTTCTCCTGCTTTCATCTCTAAAGTTTCGAATGTTATGCGAAGTCGTTGTAGCTGGGCTCGCTTCACTCTAGCATTTTCTTGATACTTGAGTTTCATTGAATTCCACAATTGCTTGGAAGTATCCTTTTGAATGATAGTTTTCAGAATACTCCTATCAATGTTTTCCTTTTGAAAGAGATAATTCTTTGCTCTGAGATCTTTAAGCCTTCGCTTCATTGTTTTCCTTTTGGTGGGCTACACTGAGTGCTTCGTTTCTTTTTGGTTCCTCGAAACCAGATTGAATAGCAATCCAATATTCAATATTCCTTGGAACGCAAGAGATTTTCCATGACCAAACTCCAATGCTCGTAGTCTCCATCAAATTTAGGAACATATGTGGTAGCAAAGCTTCCTGAATCACTTGCCATTTGTTCCGTGTTTTTTCTCTCAAACACTCAATTTGTGTATTTCTTCTTTCAGGTCCACTTAGGCTCTCATACCACAATGTTAGGAACATGAGAGAAAACTGGAAACATTAGATAAATTGGGAGAAATCTCACCATCTATTGAAGAATGAAATTGGCTATTATATAGCGTTACAGAATCAAATCCGATATGACTAAATCTGGTATGACTAAATCAAATCTAATTCAAATGACTAAATCAAATCTAATCAAAATAACTAAATCAAATCTAATCCTAACAGTACATCTCAAGCACTGGATTGACTGTCTTGGTCTCGCTTGCATCGTACTCTGAGGTAACCCAAACACTAAATATTAAAAAGATCGCAAAACGTTTACAAGTACATATATATTATGTTGTTTACAAATAAAGTAATGTATTTGAAATACAAAAAAAATACATGATATGACACACTATAAAATGTAGATACAATAGATGCACCAAGTTAAAACCCGTTTGTGATTGTAGAGTGTCAGTCATGCTTGTCCAAAGCGTGTTGTTATGGCCGCATGGGGGGAAACCACCTGCCACAAATAAATGTGATACGATTATGCCTGAGCTAGCTAACTTTTACAACAACTAAATGACTTGCTAAATGTAGCACCCAAAGATAAAGAAAAAAAAAAGTCATTTTGCTTCTCCAGCCACTGCAAGGGTCCAAATTGAACCCTAGCAAAGGACCTGCAAACGAGAAAAACAAAGAGAGATAGAGAGAATCTAGGGAGCGGAGGAAGAAATAATTGTCGAAAAACTCACCGGACCACTATTGAAAGTCGCGTCCAGCCACAATCTAGTTGCAAATACTTTTTCTTGGAAGGAAGGAGTAGATTCAGGTGACTGGAGTCTCATTTTCATCAAGAATAAAGAAGATCCATGATGTAATCTTTCACCATTTTTTGTTAACTCCGAGCCGTTTATTATAAGTTAAGGCCTAATATTTTGATACTTTTTTTTAGGAAGAATTCTCCACAAATTTCATGAAGAAATTTGAAGAAATCTTAATAAAAAATTGTTGTTCCGAGAGTGCTTCAAAGAATAGTATGAAAGCGTAACGTTCCTACTTTCGACATCCATACATCGATATGTGTTGAAGTAAAAATTAAAAAAAAAAAAATATAGCTCGAATTAGGACATAGTTAACTTGATTTGAGTTTAAAATCAAAATATACAAAAATGTGAAGTTCAAGAAAACTAATTGAAAAATTCAAATTTCATCTACTAGGAGGAGAGAGAAAACTCCAACGTGCCACGTGTCAACCGACGAGAGGAGAGACACAACTTTGACGCGAGAGGGATACGTGTCAAATATACAGTATAGCGATGCGACTCCATTTGATCAGCGACATGCGATGCCTTCTGCACTCGATCTGACCCGCAACCATGTCCGACCTGGTCCAACTCGAAGGATGCTCCGATTTGAACCGTGTGTGTCACGCGTCAACGTAATTAAATTCAGGTTTTCAGCGTGCGCATCTGGATTCAAACCCATGCACTTGTCATCAGCTGACCAACCCGAGCATGTCACATGGCAGCACCAGAACACGAGTCCTTCTCCCTCAGGCACATCCGTATGCGCACGTGGTAGTACGCATGGAATATCTTTTCAGTGCGTGAAAACAAGTGCAGTGCGCATGAGGGTCATTTTTTTGCCCGTTCGACTTTCGTTTGCTCGATTGTCATATGATTTCAACTCTAATCATATTTTTATGTGATTTAGGACCTAACTAAAGATAATCGCTCTTGTTAGACAGCCAATTCATGTGAAAACATTAAACGAAATGACACGCATCAATCATGTAAGTCACTGCATGAATTTTTTTACGAAAAGTACTTGTAGAAATCGATTGGAATTGCATGCATGCTAGTTTATTTACCTTGAGTGGATAGTTTTTCGATAATAAGAAATTAAGTAACATGGGTTCTTAAAAATATGGATGCATAATGTGATGAATTGTAAGAACCATCTGTTTGATGTCATCATGCTTTATTTCTGTTGTAATTATATGAATTATATGCTGAAAGGAGATGAAAATTTGTGATATAAGCTCCGGGTGCTTGATGGATGTTATCCCTCCCTCCCCTCTCCCCTCCCCTTCCCCCGTTGAGCATGTGTGTTTATTTAACGAAGGAGTATCATGTTAAGACTAGGGACATGTGGTTAGGTTGACTAGTTACCTAATTTAGACTTAACCTTTCTCGTAGGAGCCTAACAGACCACTATAGCTTACGAACCATCTAGTTGTCCTTCGGCTACAAGTTGTGTGAATGGTGTAACAGCTTCATGGGGGACTAGAGGTTTCTAATCAAAACTCACTGCTCATAGTCGTTTCGCATGGAAAATGAGAGACCCACGTCGTACAACCCATTAGCTATTGGGATTTATGCCCTAAAGCCTCGAAATTAATTATTTAGTTTTTAACAATAATTCATATTATTTTATTTGTCATTTAATTATTATCCATTGTATGAAAATCCAAGGTTATTAATGTAATCTTGAATAGTATGTGGTTGACATACAAGAGGATCGTGTTCAAATAATAACCTAAAAAATCTATAGTATATGGATAAGATTGGGTGTCTTATCCTAGTGACACAATTGATACGATGATATGAATTCAACTGCTGACCCTTTGCATGTACCCGAAGGACCGATTACAAGAAGCAAGGTTAAGAAGATTCAAGAGGCCTATACATTGCATCTTCAAAAGCTAGCTAGTGTACAAGTTGAAACAAAGACTTTTGAGCCCAAAAATATTTATAGCATTAGCATATTAAATCAAGAAGATAATGGAGTGGTTGACATTGGAAAGTAATTAGAAAACTTGCCGTAGTTGAACTACCAATTAAGACAATTTATGAATGTCTTATTTTCTTCGATTTGTAATTAATAGCATTTATTATAATTTGTGGTTGAACTTTATTACGTTAGGGTTATCTTTTGGCCTATTTAAAGGCATATAATTTCCATGTTTGGAAATCAATTGTTGAATACAAACAAAACCTTTGTGTTTTCTTGATACGTTTTTGGTGTTGTTCTTTTTCAAACCTTGCTTTAGGTTTGATGTTTAAACCAATTCATTGAATTAATTCTGATCAAGCTAATTCTCGAGTGAATTGTCTTGGCATCTAAGAGTGACTATCATAGATTCTAAGTTCGATCTAAGAATCATTTATCTTCTAACCAGCTATTGGTTGGAATCAATTCGTTAAGTTAACTTTCTCTGTGAATGTTTGCAAGGATTCTAGAAGGACCTCTAGCTTTACAAATTCCAGCATTGTAGGCGCTTATCATTTGGTATCAGAGCATTTGGTCGATGTTCTTTGGCTGCTCTAGAGGTGAAATATCTTTACTGTTATTTTTCACTGTTATTTTTTTCTATCATTTATTTATATTTTTTTTTTTGTCTCTCTCAGAATATATATATATATATATATATATATATATATATATATATTCAGTTCTTATCATTTATTTAAGTTTGTTCAAAATTTTCAAGCTCTTGATCCTTGAGATACTAGTATTAACTTGTTAGAGTTGATCGTTCGATTGGTTATAATCAAGCTTAAAGCAAGATTGCACCAAAATAAGTCAACCTTTACATTCTTGACCTAGTACCAAAAGCCTACCTTTGAGTGTTAAACACGAGTGTCCCTGAGAGAAATTTTTGTGAGAAGTGTGGAGAGGTCCCTA